AGCCAGATTTGCCGAAGTTGTGTATGATTATGATTGTGCCGTACTATCATGTTCTATCAGTCGCCCAGATCACTTTCCTTACTAATCGCTCAATTAGCGGTTGTTGTTTACAAAGAGAAGACCATTCGCACATAAATAAGAGGAGCAACTATATAGTAGCTTCAACATTGCTGAATACCCGCTCCCCTCCCCAAACCGAAGAAGTTCAAAAATGGATATTGATTGCACGCGCATCAGATCAATGCCCTTCTCGAGTTTTTACAACTGGAGGGAGTTGATGGAGATGAGGAACGCAGCTTGGTCGGTACCGTTAGTGCAACAAACAGATACGGTTCTAACTGCTCCCTGCTTTAACACTAATCAGCAGGCATGTTTTCAGAAATGCTTTCCTGTTGGCAAGGTCGATATCCATTATTTCCATACGTATGTTAGGGGGAGGTGTATAGTATGGACACACTTGGATGGCCCATAGTCTTCTGGGAAATCCTTGAAGAAATGCCGCCTTGCATCTGCGTTCGCAAGCATTTTGGGACACGTGTCGCTGTTCCGCTGCAGAAACCCTTCGAGTACTTCTTCTCTATTTGAAGTGTTCCCTTCAGTGTGAAGTCTAACATCGTCTCACGGTCTAGCTCTTGTAACAAACTTGAGAGTAATGTACAGGAGTCGGAAAAACTTTATTTCGAGAGCCAGTGCAATGAAGTACTGAATCATAACAGACCAACCAACCTTATAAACTTGTCCGAAGCCGCCTTCGTCGAATTTCTTGATTATAACCCATTCTCCAAAGCTGAAAGTAGTCTACATGAAGTTGTGAAGTGGTAGCAAACTCCAGTACGTCTACCGTTTTCCTCGAGGAAACTTGGCGGCAGGGTTGTCTTCTTCGTCAGACATTGTACTTACAAGCTGAAGTGATCCTAGACAAATGAGAGTTACCCACCGGGGTAACCGTAATTATAGTGTCGGGTTGGTTCATATCAGTCCTATCCTACTCGATAAGCAATTGCCCTACGCAATCAACAGCGAACTCATCAGGACGTTGTTTGGAAGGGTCTTCCTAGGTCGATATTCCCCCAACCATTCATAACTACTAATTAAGTGAAACACCGCAAACGTTGCGGGTTCACCTAAATGCCCCTAACAAAGTAGTCTTTCACATAATCATCTGTCCCAGGTCTTACTGAGTTCTGGATGATTCGGAACTGTTCGGAATTTGTGAGGGCGGGATCTATTCTATGGGGATCCAAATTGAATGGACCAGAAGGGTGGCCTGTCTTACCGAGAGGGTCTGCTGCAGTGACCCTAGCGGCACTCCTTTGAACTATGCACATCGCCAGCCTCCTTAGGTCACATTTACGGTTATTATGTCACAACCAGCAGACATTGTGCGGCCCACCACCACTCCACAAGGGCCACAATTGACCTTTGTCTATTTATTGGCTGGTCGAGTATTCCATTTTATTGATATCGTCACTCATGCCCCTGACTTTCATTCTTTTTTACTTCAATCAGTACTTTCATACAAAAGTGAACGTTACTTTTTCTGAACTCCTCAATGGTCCCTCAATTAAAATAGTGATCATATTCACAGGAGAAAATCCTTCTCAACCTCGCCTTTGAGTGCCAGTGAAGTCCTTCTTTTTGATTATAAAAAGTGGTCCGCATTCATGTGTTTCATTCCCCATACTATCCACTTGCCATTACCGTATTCCTTCGCATTTCAAGAATGATAGCAGAATACTGTAGCGACAAGTCTGTAGTCATTCAGCGCTGATGTAGGTAATCTGAAGTTGCCCTTGTACAGTTGGCTATTTATTTTACTCCCTATCTATGAAACAGTGTGACCCACAGTACCTCGTAAGTGATTTCGTTTGCTTTCAGAATGTTAGCGGTTTTGGTCTGTGCCGTTTTATCGTCTGGATATGCTACGATTGTGGAGGATTTCAAGGACAAAGGCATACAGTACGAAGAATTTGGGAGGGCACGGTGAGTTAGAAAGTATGCCTATCGAGACCTACCTCTTTCAAACATCATTTGCAGGCTTATGCTCGAAAGGGAACGATGTTTTCCACGAAGATTTGCTTTGACGAAATACGTGAACTCACTGGTAGAAGATGAAGTGTCTGATGTCGATGGTCTGATCCTGCGGACGAAACTTCAAAATACTTTTGCCACTGTTTGCAACAACTTCAACCTCTCTACTGGTTCGTGAACTTTGCCCATTCATAAGTTCTGATGAGGGTGAGAGATATTCGAATAATGATCTTCTTTTCAGTTGCCCCACATGTGCCAGATGGAACGGAGAGCTTTCAACAGTAAGTTTCTAACGTTTACGAGGTAAAATTTCGGAAGCGTCAGGAAAAGAGAACTTCTTTCGCCANCTGAATGGTCCTAGAATTAGATATTGTTACGTACTTGTTAAGCCTCTCAGATCTCCCCCTAGATTTACTCGCACGAGAACTTCCACCTGTGTAACAGTCTTCTGGCATGAAAACGTTGCTTCGCTGCCTTTCATGCAGTTAATCTTCAGGGCATCCGGATATCTGGAGCGATTCCGACTCATTTGGACAACACGAAAATTCGACAACGATCTTCGAACCCTCATTCTTCACAACAAAATTAACCCGGCCTTCTTCAGTCTCATTGATGAGGTAGTTACCCGTGTCTTGTCCATGATTCCTACCGTATTTAGAAGTGTTTTTTCAGCAATGGTACGACGATGACTTGGAGGTGTCCGAATTTGCGGCTGCTGCTATCGTTTTTCCCAAAAGCTGTAATATAGCCGAATTGACAATCAGTGTTCTACTTTGCTCAAATTTTGAAGATTCTGCTCAACAAGGAGTTCTCTATGCGGTGGGTATTGCAAGGTTCTGCCTATAAATGTGTAAACAAAGTAAACATATGATGTAGAGCGGAAGAGAACGACGACCTTAGAACTAAATTCATAGAAGCTAACAAGCTCCCCCATCAGTAAACAAACAATATTTAATAAATTTTCTCCGTTCCAATCACTTCATAGTCTTACTCTGTAAAGTTAAAGTTTTGGGTTTCAGATCGCCCACGCTGGACAATTCATGCCTGAAAACAAGGCGTTCGTATTCTATGAAGTTCCTGAATACGTTGTGGTGGTCGAAGAAGAGGGCGAGATCATCCCAGTAGAATTTGACTCCTGCCATGTTGTGGCAAGTGGAAATTACCCCTTCCCAACAAATGGTATACTAATGAATACTCATTGCTTTAGAACGGATCATTCTTTTTGTGCATGGAAAGAGCCCATGGTGAATGTGACATCAACACGATGGATTCCTGTGACATCTTTGCTTTGTCTACTGCCTCTAACTTCACTTTTGTCCGAACCCTTGGTACGGGAAAGATAGTGGCCACTAATCAACCAGTAAGTTCAATTTCACCAGTGAGTAGTTTCCACTTGTTAATCGCTTTCAAAAGGGAATTCATTCAGGAAGTAAACGTTAATGGCACCATGGTGAAAGCATCCTCTCCCATATTCATCCACCACTTCTCCTGCGAAATGGAGGAAACTGAAGACGATGATACAAGGCTGGTCACATATTCCAAAGTGGTTCCAGTGGAAAATGAGGTAAAGGAGTGGTCCCTTGTCGTAGGCGACGTTGATAAGACCTAGCAAGCCACGGTTTCAGATTTCATTTCCCGGTATGTCACTCTCAGCTAAGGACGCTGTTCACGCCAGCCATCTTGCAGTCCGTTTGTATCGCTTGACCCGCAAAGGAATTCCTCTGCTCAGTGATCAGGTATGCTCTGTGCCATCAAAAAAAAAACAGACGATTATCTGCCGTCAAAAACAAATGATCATATTCAAAAAAACATTCATCCTATATCCGAAAACCCATATAGTGAGGTAATTGGGTATACCAAAGCACTTTCCCTAGTCGTTAGGGGGAGAAATACTGAATCAATCGACAAGTAGGACAGCTACCGTAGTTATAATATCTTAGATAATAAGATATATAATATTGAAAAAATGTTTCGGTAGTTCATACTATTCTTTTTTAAGCCTGTAAACGAAAAAGAAGGGTTCTTTTACTTTCCGAGATTTCACCAATGGTTCTGAGCCACTTCGTTGAAAATTCGAGGATTACTGTATAGGGAGATAGATTATGCTGAATAAGATTATTCAATGTCCTATCCAGTATAGGACTCCAGTAGTAAACATCTGACAGACAAGCTAACCCGAGTCCTGATACAAAATTGAGCAGTACTTTGTGAAATACTCTGAAGGGTTACCTGAAAGTTAGAGGGGGGTAGAACTAGCACCCACAGGTTTGTTTTCCAAGGTAGAACCCTTCACCTCGTCATAATATACAAAGTTTCCAACATTTGAAGATTAGGTTGGTATCAAGGTACTGGGCGTTTCCAAAGAGTTCCGAGTTCCCAAGAGCATCGAATTATGGGGCTTCTGACTTTGGCTATAACTATGGTACATCACTCCCGACTTTAAACTTGTGTACTGGTAGAACTACAACTAGATCCAATACATTCCATGTGTTTTTGGTACCTCTGCACTGAAATAAAAAAATCAATATAATCATAATGTAAATAATAAAATAAAATTATAATAACAATCAGAAAACTAAATATGTGATTATGACCTTTGGTTTAAGTAACCGACAATGACTTAAATTTGTCATTTTCAGCCTGGAAAAGCTTCTGTTTGGGATGATGTCAGGGACTTCTTCTTCCACCTTATTTGAATATTCGCTTATGTTGTTTAAGTCGTTATATGAATGTATAAGTAAATTTATGCATTAGATGTTTGTAAATTGTAAAAAAGCATTTGTCAACATGGAAAAAAACTGAATAAAAAGTTGAATAACAGATTTTGTTATCAGTGTTGATGAGGTGGATTTATTATCACTCTGATAACACAGATACGAAAAAGAACAGGAAGGAAGCAATTCAGTGGATCGGTTTTACAATGTAAGGACTAAAACGATACGCTAAAATAAGAAAACGAAACGAATTCGCTAAAAAACACAAGCTCTGAAGGAACTTTTTTCGGACAAAAAAAATGGATGAAAAAACGAATGAAAAATTCAGATACCATGAATTTCAAGTACAGATAAACTGAATGTACAAAATAAAAATATTTCATATGTATATACTCAATATGAGCAACTATCAAACAAACTAGAAACTGCTAAGTTCGACCGCATTAAGCGAGAACGAAACCCGACTATTTATAACTCGGTTTTTTGTAATTGTGAAGCTGCTTTCACAGTGTTCCCTGGAACCAACGCGTAATCAAAGGAATGGCTAAAGAATTTGCACACTCGCTACCCATGACAGAGGCGGAGGAGGTGATCCGAAGTGTGAAAGCAGCCCAACAACGATTAAAAGAACCATATACTTCAAATTTCAGTTACAAGCTTCGGATTGATATCGTTCAAGAACAGCGTCCGGAATACGGTGTCAGCAAAGTCTGGATAGTAATTGATAGCACGTTCACAATCGGGCATAAAGTTGAACTCTAACAGTGTCGGCTGCACCTCTTTTTCATCTGAAAAATCCGAAAATTCAGATGCAGGAGAAAAAGTAACGTGAAGGTTGATCCTTCTAATCAAGCTGCTCTCGAAATTAAAAAGAGATCTACCTACGACTACCATTCAGGTGAAATATTTGAGTAATATCAAGGGGTCGTATTTTTTTCACAAAACTTCTCCTACATTTGATTTATCGGATAAATTCCTTATTGATTTTTCGTAGCAAGAAAAACATTCAATAAATTTCGATTGAAGACTGAAATGGACAAACGACTGGCTGGTAGGAAAGGAGCTATATGGTCATGTCTTTGTAACCACCAAGCAGACATGAATTCAATCGGATCGAAAAAATGTGGGTCAAAAGAAAATCATGGGTCCTATTATTTGCTCATCTAAAAATTTTTCTAAATATATTCTGAAGAAACTAAGGAAACAATCGGAAACAAAGAAAAATCAAATCCAGTACCTTTACTACTCCACTTGAGCATGACGTCTGCACCATACATGGCTCTTGACTGTGCATTCTTCGCCATTCCTCGAGGTGGATCCCAACTTAAGTGTATAGATTAAAATCCGAAACAACTCCATTTTTTGATGTTTAAAACAAAACAATAAATCACGAACTGGCATGCTGCATCCAAGGCATTCCTTAAAACTTGGTTAATTTGTTTTTGAACGTTGGCCCACTTGATGCAAGGGTGTGCTTCTTCGATATGTTTGATAAATTTCGGGCATTCCATCTAAATTCGAGGTTCAAGACAGTTACCCAATTGAAAAACAAAGGAAAGCTCACAAAGGTCCAAAAACAACCAAAAAAATGAAATGAAGACAAAAAATAACAAAAAAAAAACAGAACAAAGAACGAAAAGAGTAGAAAAAATCGGATCAGAGATGAAAAGGCACCTGCAAAACCTTGGTGTCATCACCGTAGTTGAAAACTGTAAAGTGAGTGTTTACATCGTCGAGTCGATGCAGCGAAAATTCACTAAACAGAAAGAAATACAACATTTATTTATAAAACTGTTCCTGTCAAAGACAGTAGAAAATGACAGGATCACTAATGACATGTAATTATAGAACTAAGGCGGAGGTGGGAAAGTGCCGACTGATGCACTAGCATACGTATAGTCCGGGTCAGGTCTTGAACTGTTACCCGGTTAATTAGACCTTCCGCCATACCCCAGGATTGGATAATTACCAGTATACTTCGTAAGGTCTGTCTACAAGTGACTTTTACAATTACTGTAAACGTGGAATGGGACTGTTCAACGTCAAAAAAGATCAATGGTCCTAAAGTTTGTTATAAAACTGAAAACTAACTTGAGAGCGAAACGAATCCAGAAGTTGTTGTATACATAGGCACGTAAAGGCCGTACTCGTGTCACAAACACGATGTAACGGAGATCGAACTTAACCCTACATTGATTATCAACTCGGGGGAAGAGAACAGGATGCTCAACGTACTTGCAGGCGATCTGCAACAAAACCTTTCAGAAAGGAAAAATGAAAAACCGTCCAAAAAGATCATGAAAAAAATCAAAATATTAAAAAAGTCTTTCATAATTTTGACATTGGGTAACCTTAGGTCCACTTTCGGTTAGACGAATAATTTGCCGAAGATCATTAGAAACGAACATATCCATGCCACGGGCTAAGTTCCATGGCTTGATGATCCAAATATTTTCAAGGCCACTAAACGCCACGAAAATAGCTTCAAACTGCCTTTCAAAATATAACTATCACTTAATAAAACCAGAACGTACTTCGCTTGCCGATGGAGGAAGTAGGATACGAACAACGGTAATTCTGTGTTCAAATTGAAGCAAGTCTGAAAACACCTGCTATATTACTGGAAACTCGAACTGCGATTATTCAAACGAACCTGATACCATACTGGGCCTTCTCCTCCATTTTGGTCCATAAGAATTGCCGACAAGAGATCCTTTACAGTAAGGCAACTTTCGTGGGGGAACTGGTTGACAAGCGCTGCAGGATTGTCAGTGCAGAGTTTACTGAAAAAACGCTCGCACTGGAGTTACAACCGTAATTTTTTCTATTTTTTTCTGATAGAATCTTCAAAGATTCAAGAGATTCTCGGAAAACAATCACAAACAGAACAGAGACTTACTCGTACTCACGGAAATGCCTTTTCAACCATAAAACATCTGCATCCCGCCAATTGCAGACTTCCTCGTACTTCACCTCAGACAAGCTCTCGATCATCTGTAGACCATCAGCGTAGATTCGAAGGGGACGTGAAAGGTCTCGCTTTTTAAGAGCTTCAACTGCCAGCTGCTGATCTGCATCAGTAGGCAGTGCGTCCAATGTACGACCAGACTAAACGAAAGCTGCAATTAAAACACCCCTCCTTGTTATAACAGTGTCACAAACGACATGAAGAAACGGTCTGAGCATTCAAAAAAGTAATTAGGCAGTAGGATTTGAAGAACAATACATAAATGACGCGTACCTGATTAAAAAATATTGGTCTCATGAATTTCAAAAGTGTGAGAAAGTAAAAAATTAGAATATTCGAAGTTGAAATTATAAAACATTGTAGAAGATATAAAACGACGAAGCAAATGAAGTGAACCGCGAAAATAAACAAAGTCTAAATAAGTAAATAAATAAGTAAATAAAGTGAGCTCACAATGAAGAAATTCTCATCAGGTGGTTGACGTTCGATCTCCTCTTCCAATTCAAACTCCTTTTCCAACCACGGCATCATCAGATAACGTCGCCACTCTGGTTGCCGTCGTGCAAGAATATTGTCAGCATAGTCGCGACAAATTTCTTCTAAAAAATTAGCTTAGGTAATATACACCTATCACTGGCTTAAGAAGGAGACACATCTCCCGCATGATGAACTTATATGTCATAAGTTGAATTTCTGGCATCTAAGGTTGAATCGATTTCCCTCATACTGAGTTAAGCCCTTACTGACAGGATGGGGTTAGCTTCAAAGTGTCATAGTGCTTCCCTAAGAAATATTAGCCACAGGAAATCGTGACATATGGAAAGCAATTCGAAAGGAATTTTGGAGCGGCCGTCAGCCCTTTCTAAAGATGGAGAACACTCCGTCTTCTTGGGCTACCGATGTTAACACCATAGATAAACCGTGGCGAATGTCTGGTAGAGTAAATGAGATTGTCGCTGACCATCAGGAATTCTTAAGCCCTATTCACATTATGTCTCCTGGAGACTTTAATCGGCAGCTTTAGAGAGGCACACCTTTTTTTAGAAACCAATTTAATTTAACGAGCTCTCTGGCCTTAATTGAAATTTTGGCAGTTACCCAATACACGAAACCTCAGAGTTACTTCAAATAGATAGAACTTACCACCGTCAGCGACTTCCTTTATAAGAAATACTACACTGTAGGCGGCATTATGCGGTATGAAGTACAGCGGAACGACTCTAACATTTGGTGTGTCCGAATGAGAAATCCTTACTCCAAACTCGTCCATTATATACCAAACTGGCATACCTTCCTCATCTATTTCCTGGAACTCAAAGCATGTACTCTTGAAATGGAGGCGAGAATAAATATCCAAAGACCCACTGGTTTGAATCTCACGGTGTATGTTTGAATGTACTGCCACATTTTACGAAGAATTGCATCGATCATAGTGTCGTCTTCGTTTACAATGCAACAAAGGCGAGCATCGACGGATTCAAGTCGTGGAAGAGGAGCATCTGAAAGACTGATGGTTAGCAGGGACCCTATGAAAGGGAATGGGCTGAAAACACTCACTGCCTTCAGAAGAGGCTTGCATCTTCTCTTGGACTTTTTCACGTTCCTGTTCATCAGTAGTCGTTATTTCATGATCGGTATCGCTCTCATGTTCTTTTTCATGTTCAGTGTAGACACATTCATCGTCTGTCTACAGCAAACCAATCAAATCGGATAACCATTTTGTGGAAAAAAGTCAGGACTGACCGTGATATCAAGCAATCTAGCCATCCGATCAACCAACTGTGGATGCTCCTCGAGTTGTTCTCGTGCTTGTTGTGGACGGAACGTCCAAGCGTGGTCAATAAGGAAGATACTAGACAAAAATATACAAAATCAATGGTAAAACAGGAAACCTGCCAAGAGTCCAAGAATCATTGAACAGTACATACTTGTATTCATCAATCGGATGAAGGTTTCGTGTAGCAAACACGCTCCAATTGCGCCCATCGTCTGTCTCCTCGCACAAAATCCGGAAGTAGTTCCCAGCGTCGAAGGTCTAGAAATTCGTTGAACTTAGAGCCGAATCTCAGCCGAATTTGAAAAGCCGAATTGGAATTCGACGCCACTAACCTGCTGCATTAATTTCGAATAGAGACTTCCCCACAGCTCTGGCGGAATTCCACCTGCTTCCAACTGATCCTTATGCCCATGCAAAAAATGTTCGAAACGATAATCACCGAATTCCATCGCTGTAAATTCTCACACTCATTGGAGACCCATCAAGATGTTTAACCTGAACTCTGTACGCAATCAGAAATGTTGATATCAACTGCGAAAACAGGGTGGCACGGAACAACACAGTCAGTCAAGTGAAATATTTATTCCTTTGAGGTGCAGCAGTGGCTGAGCAATTCAGGTAAGATAAGGCTGGCTGAAGAGACTGCTGAATATGGCAAGTGGATAAAAGGAATGTGCAGGACGAGGTCATAGTTCTAAGAACACCATAAAAAAGCTCAAGGACTAGTCAAAAATAGAAAAGTAAAAATGTTACAGAAAAACTATTCTAGATTTCTAAATCTCACTAATACAGACAAATAAAGTAGGGGAAGAATAGCAAAAAGCTGATAGCCTTCAGTTTAACAGAGTACAGAACGAAATGAAAGGTAACGATCCTATAGAAATAACAAAAATTGATATTACGTGCTCAGGCGATCCGTATAACCGGCGAGGTGATGCGATACATCGTATTCGAACATTGACAGAGCACCGAGTTATTGTCCAAAGCATACAGCCGATCGATAATGCCACCCAAATCGATCTGAAAAATGCGAAAATAATAGCATGAATCATCGCTATAAATATATGAGAGCAGGGTTAGTCACAATTCAGCATCTGATTGCACTTCCGCAAATCCAGTACGGATTTGAAGTAATGAGTACAGAAAGTAGCCTAATCAAGGGCCCACCAGTTAGAAGTTAATCGGCAGCATGCTCCTTTCCATTCTTGAAATCAGCATAGAATCAGCAGTGTTTTCTCGAGACTTTGGGCAATAAATTTCTTAACCTAATTTCGTACGAGCAAAGGCATAAGACACAGCCAGGAGGAGCGCACCAAACCTGCTGTAGGCAACCTTGTTATCTCGTCCCACAGCAATGAAGCGCCCTCTGTTTCAGTACCATCACTGGGTACAATGCCCACATGAGGTGACAGAAACGCCAATACCAAGGAGGTCTGCTCACTGCATGAACCACAGACGTTACAGCCAATAAAGCTCTGGACTGAGTGTGGGAATCGATCAATCGCAGCCCATGGAACACTAAAGAATTATCCGGGAAGGGGAAAATATTTACCCTATATAAGTTTCCCATTAAAAAAACAAAAAATATTCGAAAATGCTTGCCGTTGAAGCGCCTGATGGACGAAGAGATCTCGAGCCCTTACTAGCCCTAAAAAATTAATCGTAACACCTACGATGGACGACAAAATGAATGAAGATATTCCCGGAACATCAGTTGAACGTGAATCCATACTAATAACGAACGGCAGAAGAATCTAGCCCAAAAACCAATTTTCTGACCTTGCAGCAGTGTCGCTGCGGAGACTTGATTAGCCACCGTCGCCTAGACATAATAGCAAGATAATTGGTCAGTTGCAACCACTATTTCGGCAGGAAAAACCGATCCCTCTGAATCGAGCACAGCAATGTCAGTCGCTGCCGTGAGTGAAAAGAAAAGTTGACAGAGCAGATTCAGAATGGAATTTGGATAACTTCAAGGCGGGTTCCCTGCAGTGAAAGGCCCATTCTATGAGACTGCTGAAAGGATCAATCAGAGAATTTCCCTGGGTAGACACTATTCCTTATTCTCGTATCTCTCAAACTGTTCGCATCAGAATGGAAATTCTACAGAGAAAAAAGAAGAGTAGGAAAGTAGAAAACCTAGTGATTGCATCTAAATAATGACGCTTTCTCCCTCTTACACCACATGCCGGACAGATGTTTTCTTATTATCACCACCGCTACATTTACGAGCCATTAAACCTTCTCCATTCCTCTAAAATTTATGATCCTCATCCACGAGCTTACTAGAGCAGCCTCCCCGCCTAGACTCTTACATGCTGGTCACACTCTTGCCCTGGTGTTCCCAACACTCTCCTGGCAGTTGTTTTTGTTTTCAAAATAAATGAAATATGTTATGTGACGTGGCTCAAAATTGTCTTATTGATCTCATCAAATAGAAACCCGAAACCGCCATAATTTACACTTCAAATGTTGTTTGCAGGGATAATTCTTGCTTTCAAAACTTCATCATGCCCTACGTAATGAATAAAAATGCCAAAAGTAAACCGAAAAAAGAAATAAAATGTGAAATTAAGCCGAGCAAACTATCTGTCAGTGTTATTATGAACATGAGCCTTCACCACAGCAAAGCAAAGTCTGACAAGGAAACGAAAGCGAGACAGGACATTTTATGGCACGACCAGCACACTTTATGGGATTTTGCGTCACTTTATGCTGTGTTTGCAACGAAATGGAAAAACTAAAGTTTCGAAAATAAGTTTCGCAAGAGAAATTCTCGGATGAACGGAAAGATTGAATTCTATAATCAAAAAACACTCGAATATCTGCTTTAATAATCTCAATGTGGTCTTTCTTCGGAGCAAGGGAAAACTAGAAAAGAGCAAGTGTGTACTTTTAAAAGGAGAAATAAGAGCTTGAGAAATGGGCGAAAACTGTTGAGCAAAAAAAAGCAAAGAGGTAAACACGTTCCATTGCCGCTCAAGCGTGGGAGGGTGATCATACGCTCTACGCATACTCCCACCTAAAGTATGTCCAACCAAAAAAATTCTAGAGGGGAAGCACTAGATTCGTTTCTCAGTCATCCGTGTTCTTCTTCTCTAGGTCTACCTAATGTAAAGCGATAGATTTTCAAAGAGAAATAGTGAAGATAACCTCTTCTCTATAGTACTATTGCTTCATTTCAACTAAAGTGCTAGAAGGAAGTTCAGAATTTTATCAATACTGGGAGTTTTTCCAAGTTCTTTATCAAGTTAATGATGGCATTATAACTAAATATTGAAACCTGATCGGAACGATGAAGTGTACGGAAGGATACATACTGCTCACCTGCCGTATGATCGCTTTATGTTTCAAATCCCAAAAGGTCAAAGTGAATTCGGATGCCGTTACCGCCAGCTCATCACCCAATGCAACCAGACTTCTGGCAATTAGAGCCGCATCCTTCTGAAATGACTATATTTTCTTATTGTAAGTAGAAAAATAGGGGGAAAACCAAGAAATTTTAGTCAGCAAGAGTAGCGAATGTAATAGGACAAACAAAGGTTGTAGCGAGGTATAGATCCAACAAAATCAGAGTTTTTTCGGTCGCATGGAATAAAAACATACCCTAGCGTGGTGCTGAGCGATTCGGCTAACAAGACTTCCGTCGGCTTTGCTCCATAAGATAAAATCACCTTCCGATGAATAGCCCAACAGGTATTCTGCCGTACATGCAAGTTGTATCTTACCTTAACGAAAAAAGATGACAAAGGGTTAAAAACCAAATACAACGGACAAAATACTTAATAAAACTGGTTCTGCTGCCAAAACTGCTAGTGTACTTGCACTTTCGCTTTGTAACTACTTCCCCTCTTTATCATCACCTTCACATCTTTAACCCATTGACGACCACGAGGTTTTGCGGGAAATCGCCGCGAGGGACCGGCGCGCTTTTCGTCCACCAGGGACTGCAGCCACATGTGGACTTCATGGTCCAGAATGACCATTTTTTGAAGTTTCTAAGGGAAAATTATAAGTTTTCAGGAATGTTCCTTCAAATGGGCTTGGTAAGAATGCCCACATTGAGTGATCATTGTTCTTTATTATAGAAACGGCATTCGTTCTGGTGGTCATTCAATTATGAATTCAATCATCACCAGAAATCGTTTCGAAGAACTTTTTTTGCGTTGCGTTGGGAGCTTTGCGTTTGGTTGATGAAAGCGAAAATGCTAATGACGACCGACTTTTAGAAATATCCCATTTTTCGAAGTTGTTCAACGAACGAAGAATTCATCAAGGTAATGTACTCCTTCGAAAAAACACCTTTACAATTATGAAATCAGAAGATTTTTTAGGACCACGCTGTATGTAGTTTCATTTAGGCCTTANTTTAGGAGAAAAAATATAAAAAAATGGAAATGTAGATGAATAAAACAAAAAAATACAACTGCAGTCCATATGTGGACTGCATGGTCCCACATGGCCGAAAAGGTGCAGTCCACATGTGGACTGCATGGTCGTCAATGGGTTAAACTTCTTTAAAGAAGTTTTTCAACACACATTTTTATGGCCAATCTAGATTCCCCCATTAAAGCCGAAAAACTAATATATCCGTACCTGAGCACTTAACATCCAGCGAACGAAGAAGCTCTCCAGATGTCAGATTCCACCAGCAAATTATGCCTTGCTCACAACCAGAAAATAACATCTGAATTCATCATAAATAAGATATTAAAAGTATTTTTCATAAATAAAAGCTCCTTACGCTAGTGGAATGATCGATGCATACAGCTGTCACCGGTCCACTGTGAGCATGCAACATCGACTGCAATTGACAGGTACGAAGGTCAAACACTTTGAGGGTGTGGTCATAACTGGCCGAAACTGCCACCAACGATGAAGCTCCCAAGTAAGAAATCGGTTTTTGATGAGCACGAATGATGTTGAGAAGCACAATGGACGTTACACGAGTCGGCTTAAATCATCAGTTGGGGATGAAAACTATGTGAGGCAACAAAAAAAAAAGAAAAAGCATAAAAGATTAACATTAAGATGGAATCTACTAAAAATCTGCCATCGCGTCACTAGACTAATTCCTGGTCAGAAACAATTTTCATCTTTCAGTTCCATCTCATACTTGTTATCCTCAAAGAGATCCGGAATACTTACCCTTTCCGTAGTTAATGTCAGTTCTAGGAACTCCACAGTACCGTCCAATCGGGCCAACACCACACGTGAGCCAACATACTGTAAGAAACAACTTCAAACTTTCTAATCCAAACTGGACCACACATACTGAGGTTAAAAAAGTTACAAATCAATTTTTCAAAGTCATGCATCAGAGGGAACCTTGGAAGAGATACATGGGGAAATATACAAATTATAAACTTCAGTAAAGCAAATTTTCTTGAAGAATTGGAAAAAAACCTACAAGCACATGGACAATACCAATTTGAAACTGGCGATAGACACCGATAAGTTTGTTTCTTTCAAGACAAGCAACTTCCAATGAGCCATCCGCGCAGCCACATAGAGCGATGTACTGTCTGGAAAGAAAACCTGTTCCTTAACAATAGCAGCAATGTTTGCGAGGTTTGATAGTTGAAGGAAAAAAGTTGAGAACCACGTAGAAAGGTATGAACGCTAATGAAGCTATAAATTCCCATATATGTATATCAGTATTACAGTATTTGCTGACTCAATACCAGCTTCGGAAAAATTGGAATTTCTGCAATATATTTTTACCACCAAAGTTGATTTGACGACTATGAGGATGTGTAAAACTCGAAATACTCAGAATCCAGGCATGCAAAAAAAGAGGACTTCAGTTCGTTATTGCTCTAGGAAATTATAAGGGCGATAGAGGCAACAACTAGCCCAGAAGACACATTCATGCTCGACGCCAACTACACGACCATCGAACTGACTCCAACTAGGCCTAGCAAATCCTCCAGCCCTACTGGATTAGCTGAATTCAACGAGTACGGCCATGGGAAGGAATTTACCGCCTACACAATGGATTCCTCCACCATTTTTATTTATTTAAATTTCTTCTCCAGCTCATGGAATTCGCCGTGGGAGGTTTGCAGCCGAAAGACTTCGGTGAAAACGTACTGTGTAAAATACTGTTGAGAAGTTTCTTTTCAGAGCTATATATCAACAAAAACTCTATATGTCAGCTTTCCATATTCATAATTAAAATCTGAAGATTTGTGAAAGGTGTGAAAGCATTAAAAGTGTGGAAGCATGACCACTGGTCATTCTCACAAGTAAAAAAAAAGCATGTATCTCTTATAATACTCGAAGCAAGAAAGTATGAGCGCTCATTTTTTCTGAATAATACCGGAAAACAGAAAGAATTTAAAACGTGTTCAGACCATAGCTATTTGACCGTCAAAGGGGTAAAATTAGAAATGAAAAAACCAGACGAAGAATTAGGTGTGGAGACGCAAAAAGGCGCTAAAGATGGTGCACTGGAAAACATCACAAAACAAACACTGCGGTGCAAAAACATCCACCATGGAACTGGAAACAGGTACATATGTGAGACGAGAAACGAGTTAAAAGCATTAGACAGGCACGTCGTGGGTAACAGGTTGACCGAGTAGGTTTAGGGGTAAAACGAATTATTGGCTAGTTATGGCACAATGGTCAATCATGAAAAAGACTCTCGAATAATTTTCGCTACGAGCTCAGCAATCCACAGAGAGAATATCGGGATTTCATGCTTCTCGATGCCGAAGTACTCGAATGGTATCGTATATAGCTACCCAATCAGGATTCAGCAAAGAACAGAAACATAACGACGAGTGTCACGGGACTGTCTTTGAAAAACTGAGGCGAGTCAAGGAAAAAGACGGGCGTAAAGCTTTTTTTCAGATGAACACTTGAGGTACCACCACACCCAACGTTCACTGGAAGGCAGAAAAACTCGAAATTTCTTGGCTCAGAACCTGCAAACACCGCAGCTGCCCATCAGCTGGTCTTTAAAACCACCTCCTCCTACACAGTGAACAGGGAACTGACACAATACCCACACCCACCCATCGTAACAATCGCCAGATGCTATCATAGCCAGAGATATCAGTGAATGTACTGGACTGGTTATCCATAAAACGGCATGGAAAATGGAACATACGGTCGCCGAAATCGCCCAAAACAAGTCTTTAACACAAAAATTGTAGCGCTTGAGCAACGAACGAGAATCGATGACCAGTTTAATGCACCTCCATCGAATTGCGGTAACTGTGAAAAACGACGTACTTTGCTGCGATGCACCAAATTACTGGGAATGACTCGGCTGATGTCTCATCTGCAGTTCGCTGACGTCGTAGCTTCAGTATACGCTCGCCTATGAAATACTGGGATTAAAATTGTCTCAGAAAATCAGTTCACTTTTCAATTGGCGGGTACTCAGTCGGTATTGACTTACTTTCGACAGGAATGTCTAACTTACACTGTGAAGTCGAGGTCTATCCAATCCACCAAAACCCTTACATTAGCAGAAAATACTCAAGTAAAGACTTAGCTTAATCAACGAAAGCAAGGCTTATTTTAATCAACGAAAGCAAGGCTTATTTTAATCAACGAAAGCTATATAAGGGGACTTATTTTACTTGCTCTTCCAGTTACAATCAAAATAATCACTGCCACATCAATCCAATGATGATCCAATAATGTCGCAGCTAAGAATTCCAACAATTCCATGTTTCTCTTCATCTTCAAGGTTAGAAGATAAAATTGACCCTAATGTATTATGTCGGAACGGAGGCAGACTATCGGACTCTCCCGAGTTCCACTCAGTTCGTTAGGAAGGATGACCTGGGACTCTGTCAACCTACACACTCGCCCTTCAACAATCCTGGAACTTCAGATCAGGTGCTGGCACTGAATAAAAAAATTCACCAGCGTCGTGAATTTCTTTGGCCACGTCAAAACGCTGGCTTATAAGAAAAGTGATCGCATTCGCGTTTAACCACCAACCCTACCCCGGTGCCCTATTCTCCTAGGGCTTGAGTAAAAACTATAATACTTTAGCTAAAACCGGCTCAAGCATAAGTTAGGTCAGCTACACCTTTTTAGCGCCCTACTGCGCAATGTTGGAAGAACCACCCCTCCCCCCCCCCCCCCGCCCCCCCCCCCCCCCCCCCCCCCCCCCCCCCCCCCCCCCC